AGTGGTCGGACGGCTTGGATAAGAAGGGCGACGTCAAGAGTGGTGTGGACTCGACGGCATCGGGACCTTTGTTTCAGATGAGGCCGTATCCCAATCCCGGGGCTGTTCTCAGAATGAATAAAGAGAAAGGAAAAGGTAAAGGAAACAAAAGGGGGAAAGATAGCAGTGGTGATGAGGACTGACACCAACACCACTTCACACATACATTACAATCATTGAAATAAAAAAACTTATTAAATGAATCTTTGGTGTCATATCTTTAATTAAAGCCTAATATGTTATACTGTTTGTCCACTACTGGTATTTTGTTCATTGCTTTTATTTATGAATAAACCGATCATAACTTATTCGGGTTATATGAATGGCAAAAGTGTATGAATTTAAGATAATTATTTGAACTCAATTATTAATGGATAGTCAGACAAGTATTGTGCAGTAAATTATAGATAATTGATTGCAATTAGTGTAATACAAGAATAAATTGAATTATTAATAGCACATAAACTGTAAGAATAGTATTAGACTATGATAATTGCCAGTGATACAGTGTATGATACAGTATGAGACAGGTAAAATTACGTAATGTATGTGAACATAGGATTGCATGTGATTTGAGTGAAAATGTTAATTAAATTGAAAACATTGAATTTATTTGACATTAAACTCATCGTATGTCTCACACTAGCCATCAATTCATGCAAATGTGAGACACCATCAGATGCTGAAGACTACAGCGAATCCCTTGTGTTGAAGCCTTTACCGGACGGACACTTATATGCCTTCTTTGAGCTGAAGACCGTTTGGCACAAAGATTTGCATTCAATTAATTGGGGTATTGTTTGCCACTAATTGTGGTCAGCATTCAATGTTAACGTATGTCTTGTCATGTCTTAAGCCAATCGATTCAATGTATTTCCACTGTCTTTGGGAAAACTAATTTCCAAACATGAATTACAAGAACTACACTTCAGTCTCACGAAAGGCGTTTGGAAACACCAGCGCTGGGGGTATGCCATACGTGAGGCACCTCCTAATGCACAGCTATGGCTATGGTTCCAACACTTCCACAAAAAGTATTCTAGTTTTCATACGGATATCAATTGACAGATAATCAGCAAACCGTTTGTTTTAGTCCTCAAAAGGCGTGGAGAGACATCACGAGCGAACTCTCCGGTCAGTTCTGTTCGTCCATTAATTTCATCGACAATTCAGCCACAGTTCAGCCGAAGTATTCGTTGAGACCGGAGGGTGTAATCGATGGCAACTCTTTGCGAAACGGTTCCATATTTTACGGCGCTTTACCGCACGAATCGGTCTGCACTGAGAACCTGACGCCTTGGAAGAAGTTGTTGCCGTGTTTTGCCACCAAAGGGTTGGCCACTCTTCTCAACGCCGCACATCTCTTCAATTCGTATTACTTTTCTCTGGCCGTCGACTTCAGACCCATTTGTAGAGTAAGTCATCATTAAGTGCTTAACAGTTGTATTGATTTCTTAAACATTTGCAACCAATTGTCTCCCTCTAAAGGACATCCATTGTGAGTCAACTTCGGTTGAATTGATTCAAAGTATTTCTGTTGTCTTCAATCCTCCCGTTATGTTCGATGGGAAGCAGAGCTGGTCTTTAGTCAAACTGTTTGGCACAACACTTACGAGCACTTGTAGTTTGGCCGCAAAGACTACTTTATATATTGATTTAACGGATACTAACAACAAGAATGCCTCCAAACTGACACCAGAGCCCACAAAATTGGTTTATTCGGTGATCGGCGCCGAAGAGCGTAAATACGCGGCCTATGATCTCAAACAGATAATGACTCAAAACGGAAAGGCTCTAAATATAGGCCAATACTTTCAAGATAACTTTGTTTACACGAATGTCAAACCGCCGCCTCTTTACGCCAACCGTTTCATCAAAGGTTACGGTTTGGCCGACGGAGGCATCACTTGTCATATATTCAACAATTTGGATAAACCCATAGAAATAGTGTATTTAGATGTCATTCCCTGGTATTTACGAATGTATTTACACACACTTAAGATCACAGCAAACAGTAAGTCAATCAAACCGCATACCATTTACTACAAACCATCCAAAGATCGCATTCAATCACATCATTTGGAGCTACTGTTGGTATTACCGCCCAATAGTATGACAGATATATCCTATCAATTCGATAGAGTGTTCCTGAAGTGGACGGAATACCCGCCGGACGCCAATCACGGCGTTTACGTCAACTCAGCCATAATTAGTGCGAATTTAAACACCGATAAAAACTTCACATATTTGCCAATTCGTGAGACTATTTCCACACAAAACTTGCATTTCGTGAGAATATACACACAAACACTATTAGTATCACTTCCGACGCCTGACTTTTCAATGCCTTATAATGTCATTTGTTTGGTCAGTACTGTCGTTAGTCTAGCCTTTGGACCAATTCATAACTTGACCACAAGAAGGGCTCGAATTGCAGACAATGAAAGTGATAAGAAGACCAAACAGTCATTGATCTCTAGAGTTAAAAACTTTTTTAAGAGAAAAACTGATACTAAAAGTAGTGAACAAAAGGAATAGAGTTTTAGTTTTCATTTACTGTATTGTAATTTATTATATTTTATTATTGGATTAATTTATAATTATTTGAAATAAAATTAAATCTAAAATAACATAAGAAGTGATGAGAAATTGGATGAAAATAATGAGTGAGTGTGCGATAAACTCGTGGATAAGTGAATGAATGGGTTTAGTGTTGGACAACCATATGATAAACTAATTCAATGATAGTTAATGGCTATAATTGCCGCTATTTCTCAATGCAATCCTATGCATGGATTCTTGTGCACAGATTCTGTACAGAATACTCGTGCCGGTGTCGGTGGCAGAGCCGGTACTGTAATACAGCGCCGACTGTCGAGTGTTAGGCGTAATGTATGCGTGAAATGCACAGTAAATGAAGCGCCAATTGATTGTCAGCTTTTGTCAGCCATTACTACAGTATTACGACATTCAGTGTATTGTTTGGTTTGTTTGACACAAACCTCTCACCGGTTCTCAGTTCACGACAAGTCGTTTGCCATACGTTTGCAAACCTATCCATTGCTCCCATTGTCATCATTGTCACCACCAACTGATCCATTGAGTCATTGTGAGCAGTGACACTCAAACGCGCGCAAATATGTCTCAGTTGTCGGTCGACAAGAACGCATTCTTCCGGCGCGTCCGACATCTCTACCACTCTTGGAATGTAAGACATGTCTGACCACCACTTGACCGCCGAAGACAGTGTTGATTGAGTTGATCTCAACCGTTGTCTTGTGTTGTCTCTTAACAGAACAGCGACGAAGACTTGGAGAACATCCATAAAGTGGACGCAATTGTGGTGATCGTGGGTCAGGACCCGGATGTGGTCTACAGTAAGACGACTGCTCTTCAGGTGTGACTCATTGTCTG